CCTTTGATGTCCACATCTGGCACTTTCATTTCACCTTCTATCTTGGGCACAGAGACATCCACATCCCCTTTGACCTTGGGGCCTTTCAAGTGTAAGTCCACATCAGGCATGGAGATTTTGGGAGCCTTGAAATGCATGTCTGGCATCTTAAACTTAGGGCCTTTTATCTTTCCTTCAGGACATTCAATATCAATATCTCCAACATCCACATCCACCTTAGGGGCTTTCACGTCTATTTCAGGAACTTTCAAGTCTCCTTCCACTTTAGGAAGGGAAACATCGACATCGGTTTTCAGTTTAGGAGCTTTCAGGTTAAGTCCAACATCAGGCATAGAAATTTTGTGTGTCTGTATATTCATGCTTGGCATCTTGAACTTGGGGCCCTTTAGTTTCCCCTCTGGACCTTCAAGAGTCACATCTGGAGCATTAATGTCCATCTTGGGTCCAGAGACATTAATGTCGGCTTTGGGCAGGTTCACATCCACTTCTGGGCCCTCTCCTTTGAAGCCTGGCATGCTGAACTTGGGCATTTTCACCTTGGGCATCTTCAGGTGCCAGTCTGGGCCATGAACTCCCATGTCTGGTGCATTAATGTCTACTTTGGGTCCTTTAATGTTGACATCAGGAGTCTGTATCTCTCCTTCTACTTTTGGGACAGTCACGTCATAATCTACTTTCATTTTAGGACCTTTCAAATGCAAACCAACATCTGGTATTGGTATCTTCTGAGGCTTTATGTTCATTTCTGGCATCTTAAATTTAGGACCTTTTAGTTTTGCATCTGGACCTTCAATGTTCACATCTGGAACTTCAACATCCACCTTGGGTCCTGAGACATCAAAGTCAGCCTTGGGCAGGTTCACATCCACTTCTGGGCCCTCTCCTTTGAAGCCCGGCATGCTGAACTTGGGCATTTTCACCTTGGGCATCTTCAGGTGCCAGTCTGGGCCATGAATATCCACATCTGGAGCACTGATGTCAGCTTTGGGCCCTTTAAGGTTGACATCTGGCACTTTTATTTCACCTTCTACATCAGGCAAAGACACATCCGCATCTCCTTTTAGTTTTGGTCCCTTAAGATTCAAGTTCACATCAGGCATGGAGATCTTGGGAGCCTTGAAGTGCATGTCAGGCATCTTAAACTTTGGACCCTTCAGCTTCCCTTCTGGTCCCTCAAGACTCACATCTGGAGCTTCAATGTCAACCTTGGGTCCGGAGATGTCAATGTCAGCCTTGGGCAGGTTCACATCCACTTCGGGGCCCTCTCCTTTGAAGCCCGGCATGCTGAACTTGGGCATTTTCATCTTGGGCATCTTCAGATGCCAGTCTGGTCCATGCACATCCACATCTGGGACATCAACGTCCACTTTGGGTCCTTTGATGTCCACATCTGGCACTTTCATTTCACCTTCTATCTTGGGCACTGACACATCCACATCCCCTTTGACTTTGGGGCCTTTCAAGTTGAAGTCCACATCAGGCATGGAGATCTTGGGGGCCTTGAAGTGCATGTCAGGCATCTTGAACTTGGGACCCTTCAGCTTCCCTTCTGGTCCCTCAAGGCTCACGTCTGGAGCTTCTATGTCAACCTTGGGTCCAGAGATGTCGATGTCAGCCTTGGGCAGGTTCACATCCACTTCTGGGCCCTCTGCTTTGAAGCCAGGCACGCTGAACTTGGGCATTTTCATCTTGGGCATTTTCAGGCTCCAGTCTCCACCTTGTACTTCCACATCTGGTGCTTTAATGTCTACGCTGGGCCCTTTGAGGTCCACGTCTGGAACTGTCATCTCACCTTCTAGTTTTGGTGCAGACATCTCTAGATTTCCTTTCATTTTGGGTCCTTTAAGATTGAGGTCAACATCTGGCAGAGTCATCTTAGGAGCTTTGAAGTGCATCTCAGGCATCTTGAACTTGGGGCCTTTCAACTTCCCTTCAGGTCCCTCAAGGCTCAGATCTGGAGCACTAACATCGATCTTGGGTGCAGAAAGGTCTACATCAGCCTTGGGCAGGTTCACATCCAATTCTGGACCCTCTCCTTTGAGGCTGGGCATGGTAAATTTGGGCATTTTCATCTTGGGCATCTTGAGGTTCCAATCAGGACCATGAACTTCAACATCTGGGGCACTGACATCTACTTTTGGCCCTTTCAGGTCACCTTCCAGCTTTGGCACTGTAACATCATATTCTCCCTTTACCTTGGGACCTTTCATGTGCAAGTCCACCTCAGGCATGGAGATCTTGGGGGCCTTGATGTTCATCTCAGGCATCTTAAACTTGGGACCTGTCAGCTTCCCTTCAGGTCCTTCAATATTCACATCTGGAATGTCCACATCCACCTTGGGTCCTGAGATGCCAATGTCAGCTTTGGGCAGGTTCACATCCACGTCTGGGCCCTCTGCTTTGAAGCCAGGCATGCTGAACTTGGGCATTTTCATTTTGGGCATCTTCAAGTTCCAGTCTGGGCCTTGAACGTCCACATCTGGAACATCAATGTCCAACTTGGCACTTTTAAGTTCAACATCAGGAACTTTAATCTCACCTTCAGCCTTTGGCACCGTAACATCGTATTCTCCTTTTACGCTAGGGCCTTTCAAATGTAAGTCCACATCTGGCATGGAGATCTTCGGGGCCTTGATATTCATCTCGGGCATCTTAAATTTGGGTCCTTTCAATTTTCCTTCTGGTCCCTCAATTCTCACATCTGGAGCAGTCACATCTACCTTGGGCCCGGAAATGTCCACATCAGGCTTGGGCAGGTTCACATCCACATCTGGGCCCTCTGCTTTGAACCCTGGCACACTGAACTTGGGCATTTTCATCTTGGGCATCTTCAGATGCCATTCTGGGCCGTGAACATCCACATCTGGGGCATTAACGTCCATCTGGGGGCCTTTCAGTTCCCCTTCAAGTTTTGGCACCGTTACATCGTACTCTCCTTTCACCTTGGGGCCTTTCACATGCAGATCTACGTCAGGCATGGAGATCTTTGGTGTCTTGACACTCACTTCAGGCAACTTCATATCAGGACCTTTAAGTTTGCCCCCCAGGCCTCCTATGTTGACATCTGGAGCTTCCATGTTGACGTTGGGCCCCGTAATACGGACATCTCCTTTGGGTAGATTTACGTCTATATCTGAGCCTTCTCCTTTGACTCCTGGAGTGCTGAACTTGGGCATTTTCATCTTGGGCATTTTCAGGTTCCATTCCGGGCCATGAAGTTCCACATCTGGGGCGCTGACATCCACTTTGGGGCCTTTGACATCCATCTCGGGGATTTTGACTTTCCCTTCTACTTTGGGGAGGGTGACATCTACACCCCCTTTCACTTTCGGTGCAGCCACATTTAAGTCTACATCTGCCATGGAGATACTGCAGGTTCCCATTTTTCCAGAAGGACCACTCAGCTTCGGTCCTACCAGAGTCCCCTCTAGGCTGGGTGTCTCTATGTCCACTTTGGAGCCTTTAACTGCCACTTGAGGGCCTTTGACATCACCTTGCATTCCCGGAGCAGAAACCTTAATATCTCCTCTCAGCTTGGAGGACCCAAGGCTCAGATCCACATCCTGCATGGAGATTTTAGGTTTCTGAATAATCATTTCAGGAGTCTTGACTTTAGTACCCTTCAGCTTCCCTTCCAGCCCCCCGGTAGCAACCTCGGGCAGGCTGACGCCCCCAGAGACCCCAGGAAGAGTCATGTCACCTGTGGGTAGTGTCACGTCAATTCCAGTTCCCTCTCCCTTAGATCCTGACACAGAGAATTTGGGAGCTTTCATCTTGGGGATATTTAGTTTGCCTCCAGGCCCATGAATATCAACATCAGGGCCTTGACCTTCCACATGGGGGCCGGTGATGGTGCCCTTGATTTGGGGAGCAGAGATGTCCACCCCTATGCTCCCCTGTGGCTTGGCACCTTTCAGGCCTAGGTCTCCCTCAAACGATGGCCCGGTAATTTGGGGGCCCTTCAGTTTCCCCTTAAGCCCCTGAACCGTGGCACAGGGAGCACCGACTTCCAGCTGAGGAGCCTGGATGTTCCCACCGATGGTCATGCCTGGCTGGCCTCCCTTGTGCCCCACAGAGAATTCAGGTGCAGAAACACTCAGCCCTGCCTCTGGGGCCTGGTGCTGGGGCCCTGTTGAGACACCAAATTTTGGCATCTTCATGGTGGGAATTTTAATTTTCCCATTATTGTCACTCTCAAGAGATGGGCCCTGAACCTCTACTGCCCCACCGCCAAGAGAAGACGAAATGCCCACTCCTGGAACGTGGATCCCCCCTTTGCCGCCCAAGTCCAAGCCCTTTGCACCGACACTGATGTCTGGGCTTCCCACCTTTATCCCCGGCACGGTGACCTGCAGCTTCGAGTGGCCAGCACCATGGAGCTCTGGTCCCGAGGTGGCAATGGAGCCTGCTCGAATGTCCACAGCAGAGCCTGTGGCCGGAGACGCTGCCCCCGAGCCCGAGGGCAGCCGGATCACTGTCTTCCCAGACTGGGTCTCCACATCCACAGTGGAGATTTCGGTCAGCTCGTGCCGTGGAATCTTGAACTTGAACTCAGGGCTGCTGATGTCGATGTCCTTGGCTCCTTCCCGGCCCGTCACATCCACAGTGTAGGCCGTGACCCTTCTGGTCACCGTGATGGTGCGGCTCTGGGTCTCCCCAGGCTCCCCTTCCACTCCGTCCTCCGACTTCAGCCGGGGCTTGATCTTCGTGGCATAGATGCGCTGGTACTCCTCGTCATCCCCGCTCTGCAGAGAGACAGCCCGGCAGAGGTTGCAACAGAGTCTGCCTGAGTTACCGACGCCCGGCCGCGGCCCAGCCTTTTCCCAAAGAAGCCGGGACCAAAACAGGGGTCCACGGAGCCTCCTGGGGCAGAGCACAGAGGGCTGACGAAAGGGGCTGACAACCACATCAGAGGAGGAAAGCAAATGACGTGGGGCAACTCCGGAAAGCAAAAGCCATGGGGCGACGAGGGTGTAGACGGCTGGACAGCATGGTCTGGGAGAAGGATTTGCAATCAATTCTAGACTCAAGTCGGCCAGTCAAGTACCCAGGACGCCTCTGGGCGGCCAGCTCTGCACTGACTTGACCCTAAGGCTCTCAACTCTCAACTCCCTGGTGTGTTTGTTTAAGCAGGAGGGGGACCCTCCCAAGGATCCCCGAAAGCTGGGTGGAGAGTGGCTGTGCTTGGGCGAACCCCCTCTGTGAGCACCCATTCTTTGTTGCATAAACAAGTCATCAGAAGGAGCAGGGAATCGTCCCACAGGCACTTTGCAGCCCAGCTTCCGACTCACAGGCGAGTTCAGGCCTCCGGAAGCAGAAAAATGCTCTGAGCGCGCTGGCCAGTGCGGCTCAGTCGGTTGAGCATCATCCCGTGCACCGAGAGGTCGCCGGTTGGATTCCTGGTCAGGCTGCCTGGGTTGCAGCTCAATCCCCAGTAGGAGGCGTGCAGGAGGCAGCTGACTGATGTTTCTCTCTCTCTCCATCTCCCTTCCTCTCTCTCTAAAATCAATAAAACACATATTTTAAAAAGAAAAGAAAAGAAAAATGTTCTGTGAGGCAGAACTGGGCACCTGTGAAATCATTCCCAAGATTCCGGCAAAGCACCCGGGGCCCAGCAGCATGCGTGGCTCCCGGCTGCGGCGCTCTGAAGAGACTGACTTAGGGGCAGCATCAGCCACGTGCTGTGCCACACGTGGCACAACCAGCAACAACCAGGCTGACTCAACAGAGTGCAGAGCGTGAGCTCAGGAGAAGGAATGGCAAGAGAGGCCCGCAGGCAGAGAGAAGCCTCGGGAAGGGGGACCGGCGGGCGGCGTGGCCGGGAGCTCAGGGCGTGGACGGGCCGGCGAGGCACTCACCAGAACCACTTCAGAGGTGCGGGAGCTGAAGACTTCGTGCGTCCAGGTCTGGCCCGGCTCAGGGGAGCGGTCCCCCTTCCGCTGCAGCTTCAGACCCACCGTGTGGTGCCCCATGGTACTCAGCAGCTGTGTCACCTCGCCCGACTGCAGGTTGTCAAAGTAGATGGTGGCACCCACAATCTGGTCCCCTGAAGGTGAGCTCAGGAGAAGGAATGGCAAGAGAGGCCCTTAGGCAGAGAGAAGCCTCGGGAAGGGGGACTGGCGGGCGGCGTGGCCGGGAGCTCAGGGCGTGGACGGGCCGGCGAGGCACTCACCAGAACCACTTCAGAGGTGCGGGAGCTGAAGACTTCGTGCGTCCAGGTCTGGCCCGGCTCAGGGGAGCGGTCCCCCTTCCGCTGCAGCTTCAGACCCACCGTGTGGTGCCCCATGGTACTCAGCAGCTGTGTCACCTCGCCCGACTGCAGGTTGTCAAAGTAGATGGTGGCACCCACAATCTGGTCCCCTGAACCGGGAGGAACAAGAAGCGGGTCTCAGGAAAGCAACACGCGCGCACACACACACACACACACACACACACGCCGGGAGGAACAAGAAGCGGGTCTCAGAAAGCAACACACACGCACACACATTGAATGCATGTCATGCAAGGCAGCTGTGGTAGTGCCCACTGTACAGATGAGAAAACTGAGGCTTAGACAGGTCAACTGAGTTGCCCAAAGTGGCCAGAGCTTGTGAGTGGTGGAGTTGGAACTGAGGACGGTGTCCCCGCCCCTCCTCACAGGACCTCCTCCCCCAAGGACTGGGGGCGGGTGACGGACACAGGGTGGGCAAGGGAAGGTAGGGCTTGGGTACTGACCATCCTGCTGGCACTGGGACCAGGCCCTCCACAGCCACGTGCCCACTTCTGCTTGCCCCCTGCCCTTCCCTCCACCACCCCACCCACCCCAACCCAGCACCCAGCCCACACCCCGAGGGGACTCACCCTCCTTGACCACCCCCGTGCGGGCCGCAGGGGAGTTCTGCATGACCTCCTGCACGAAGACGCCATCGTCCCTCTGGGCAATGGTCAGCCCGTGGGAGCCGCTGCCCTGCCAGTTGGGCAGCAGCAGCTCCCGCGTTGCCTCCTCCTCCTTCTCCATCTGGGACGAGGGAAGGGAATGAGCTCAAGCGATGAGGGGTGAGAAGGCGGGGGTCTTGGGTGGGTGAGCTCCCGGGGAGTGAAGCACCGTCTGCCGCGGCGGCGATGCTCAAGGAGCAGCAGAGCGGACGGGCAGTGGATGCCACCGGCCGGGAGGGCCCAGCCCCGCCGCGCCCACCCAGCCCCGCCTCCCGATGCCACCCCGGGGGTCTCCACCCTCCCACCCCGCACCGCCACCTCTCTCACCACCCTCCCCCCTGCTGACCTTTTGCAGGACTCGTCCAGGAGCGAATGCCTAGCCAGGAGCCCGCCCCTCCTTCCGGTCCTCTCCTCGGTCCTCTCCTCAGTCTCTCGCGGAGTCTCGGTCACACAGCCTAGGGAGAAGTCCACAATGAGGCGTGCGCTCCAACCGCTGGCTCGAACCCCGACCCGCGGCCACGCCAGCGATGGCGGGGTGTTCTGTTCCCCAGGCCGGACCCTCGCTGCTGCCATCCATTCCCTGCAGACGTGACTCAGCCGGGAAGCCCGGAGAGGGGCTCGGAGGCCAGACTCAGTCAGATCGGGCTCTGCACCCGCCCAGCTGGCGGCCCTGGCCAACCCCCTGCGCTTCTCTGACGCTCCGGTTCCTGATCTGTGAGATGGCGATGACAAAGGCGTCGTGAGGAGGAAGGAGAGAGCGGGCCTGCAGAGCTCTGCGCACAGGAGCCTCAGGACGACGCCAGCTTCAGGAGGGAGAGGCCGCCGGCCCCAACGGACAGATGGGAAGACCCACAGTCACAGGCCGATTGCCCCAGGTCCACAGTGAGGAGGCGAGTCTGCTGGGCTCAGACCCGAAGCTGTGCCTCCTTCTCCGGCACCCTCTCCTACTGGGCACCCTGTCCTCCCGGCACCCTGTTCTACTGGGCACCCTGTCCTATCAGCACCCTGTCCTACCGGCACCCTGTCCTCCCGGCACCCTGTCCTACCAGGGCTGCAGCTCTAACCGGTGAGACTCCTCAGAGCAGACACTCCTGCTGTCTCAGTGCCGGTGGCACCGGCAGGCCTGGGAGCAGGGTGGGGGGGACAGTGACTCTGGGTCGCCCTGTCCAACTCAGTCCTCAGGACCAGGGACCCTCGCCGGCTGGGAGCCGAGCCCTGTCACAGGCAGCAGCTGGACAAAGGAAGCCCAGCCCCCAGGCACGGGCCCCCGCCCCAGAGGCTGGAGTCCAGCTGAGCGGCCTCAGGGACCTGGTGAGTCAGGGCCCATCTGCTGCCCAGGCCGGGCGGAGCCAGGCCCCAGGTGC